CTTCCACCCTCTTTTCCGTGACCCCTTGAGCCTCTGCTAGAACCCCAGTTTATCAGGGCTGTTTTTCACTTGGTGGGCTGCCCGAACTTTCGTCCTCACACAAGGCGAGCCCTTAGAGTGCCTGTCTTGCCTTGGTTGCCACTATTTGCCACTGACCAATATTACCAGTCAAACAAGACTCCAGGAACTCCTCTAGGTTTCAGGTATTGTCCTCCTCGCCCCACAACATCACAGCCTCCATTTCCCCCTTGGTCATTGGGATCGATCTCTTCCACCAGAATAAGAGCCTTCTTCTCTGCCTGTTGTTGGCTCAGTAGCATAAGGAGCCTAAAATGAACAGGAGTTATTCTTGGATATGAATTTAATGGAACAATGACTATTTTCCTCATGGGAGCATTTTTAATTGGGTGCTGAGATCTCCAAACCCAATCAGCCCAAGATTGCAAGATAGGGAGCAAAAAAAAAATCCAAGTGGAGTGGGAGAAATATTAGTGAGAGGGCACACCCCACCTCCATACCTTGGTCCCCAGCCTTGTGCATTACCTCCAAGAAGGATATGACATCACATATTGTACAAGGCATATTTCATATCCTGTAGAACAACACCCCCAACCTCGTAGGGTACTATCTCCCAGCTGGTGTTATAACTGAGTCTCAAAAACTATCCCACCACTCAATCAATCTGTCCATCTGAGTGCCAGACACATGACAACATCATAGGGCCAGCCCACTGCCACACGTTCTTCATTATGAACTGAGCTCCTCAGTTGGAGGTGATAGCGTGAGGGATAACATGCTACATATGTGTTCATGAGTGGAGCCCCTAAACAAGGGCTCAGTGTTGGTCTCTGCTTTGGGCGGGTTGGGCGCTCAGCAGAAGCAATAGTCATGCTGAGCTAATAATGTGCAGCTGGTAACTCATGATAACTTTCCTGTTTATTTTTTGTTTTATCTTGTTCTGAGGATATTTTTTCCATTGCTTTTCAGAGAGAGAGAGAGAGAAAGGGAGTGAGGGAGAGAGAGAAACATCAATGTGAGAGAGACACATCGATTGGTTGCCTCCCACACACACCGCAACCAGGGCCAGGGATCAAGCCTACAACTGAAGTACATGCCCGTGGCCAGAATCGAACCCAGAACCCTTAAAGTCCTCGGCTGACACTCTAACTTTCTGTATAAGTCAATTGAGTAAGCACCAGGTAAAGCTGACTGGCATTCACAAAACAGGTCATGTGACCCACCTGGTTCTTGAGAACCACTTCATCTGTGGCTGTTTTTTGCTGGGCATTTAGAAGGACTACAAGTATCTTCACCCTCTATGCCCATTCTGAGATGTGCAACCATGTACCCTTTTCCCCCCCAAAAAAGTCAACAGTTTCCCCATCTTGTTCTTCCCAAGACACTGACCAGCTAGTGAACTCATTAAACCACTACCCATAAATCAGCATAGATCCATACTTCAGGCCATATCTCCTTCTACCTAAAATAGACAACCAAGCACACTGCTCAAAGATCTGCCCTTGAGAAGGATTCCCTTCACCATTGCCTTCCGGGGCATCCCCTGGATAAGGCTATACTGAAGCAGCCATACCCTTGTGCATAGTTGCTAGCACAGCCTGAAAAGCCATCTTCAAATCAGGACTGTGGTTTCTACTCTCCTGTTCACTAATTATATGGAACTCTTTGTGAGGCCCTAGGTTTGAACTGAAGAAGCTACAGCAAAGCACTGGGAACAGGTACAATGGAAATATCAGCCACCTACCAATGCAATAGTGCCCTCTGGACTCATCGTTTATGTATGATACATTTCTATTTTGTAATTTATTGCAACCCACGTTTAATTCTATGATTTTGATCATCAAATAAAACCTAGATCATGATGGGGATTTTGGATTGCTTAGTCACTTAAAGGTTAGTAGTTAGGTATTGAATCTCTACCAAGCCCTAGGAGCAAGTTGCTTTTCTAATGGAACACAGTGGTAAACAAAAGAGGGCACTATTTTATTCCAAAATCCTAGGGATCTACACTGTGATTTCTATACTGGGATTTGCCAGAGGCTCAACATAGTACCCTTACTTGCCATAGACGGCTCCAATGCTATTGGGTCTGCTTAGTTGTATGGCCTAAATAATAAAAAAAATCTTACCGTTCAGTCTGGACCTGATACAAAGCTTTTTCTTGCTCTAGACGTATTGTAACCTTATAGGTTACTCAGTTAATGGTTGAGAGCAACAAACCCATGTGTGCTATGTGTTTTCTCAAAAATTAAAGGACATTCAAAGCATCTTGCCTCTTTCCTCCTGAGGGGCACTGCAAAATGTGGCAACTTGGCCCTAACTTTTGAAGGGCAGTCTGACATACCCAAGACCACTGGGGTGTTAGCAGAGTGTATCCCCCTGCTCCAGCATTCATGTGTCTTACAAAGGTGCTTGTTCCTTCCTCCTCATCTGGCAAAATTAGTATAATGTTATTAACATAATATAGTATCATGTTATATATTTCCTCTTTGTCCAACATCTTATCGAGGCAGCGGGGTTGCCCTGCGCTCTGAGTCTCGCCATGCCCCTCAAGGACGACAAAAAAGAAAGATACTGGAAAGTCGGCCAAGAAAGACAAAGACCCAGTAAACAAATCTGGGGGCAAGGCCAAAAAGAAGAAGTGGTCCAAAGGCAAAGTTCGGGACAAGCTCAATAACCTAGGCTTGCTTGACAAAGCAACATGACAAACTCTGTAAGGAAGTTCCCAACTATAAGCTTATAACCCCAGCTGTTGGCTCTGAGAGACTGAAGATCCGCGGCTCCTTGGCCAGGGCAGCCCTACAGGAGCTCCTCAGTAAAGGGCTTTATTAAACTAGTTTCAAAGCACAGAGCTCAGGTAATTTACACCAGAAACACCAAAGGTGGGGATGCTCCAGCTGTTGGAGAAGATGCATGAACAAAAGGTCCCACCAGCTGTACATTTTGAAAAATAAAACTTTATTTTATATATATATATAATGTATAAGTTAGAAAATATAATACATGCAGAAAAATATAAAATAAAATGTTTTGACATAATTTTCTCTAATCATTGACACTATAACTGATACCTTAAAATGCAAGACACTAGGGTTTTTAAATATATGTTTTTATTGATTTCAGAGAAAGGAAGGGAGAGGGAAAGAGAGATAGAAATATCAATGATGAGAGAGTCATTGATCAGCTGCCTTCTGTACACCCCCTGCTGGGGATCGAGCCCAAAACCCAGGCGTGTGCCCCGACCGGAATCGAACCTAGATCTCCTGGATCCTAGATCGATGCTCAGCCGTTGAGCCATACCAGCTGGGCAAGAAGCTGGTATTTTTTATAAAACTTCTAGAACTAACAAAATAATTTGTAAATATGGCTGAATTAAAGGTCATTATAAAATATTAGTTACTTTACACCAAGGCTCTCAATGTGTGGACCATGAACTCCTTAAGGTCCCTGAGACCCTGGCCGGGGTCCACAAGGTCAAAATTACTTTTGCAATAACGCTAATCATTTAAAGTGCCTCCCATGATTCTGGTAGGAACTAAATGGTCAATTTTCAGCAAGTGTCTGGCACAACCCCCTCACAAATTTGATGACTGATAAATTTTGGTGCTTTCCTCAGCTTCTCCCCTCCCAGTCCGGCCAGGAGCCCTACTCCCCTTCAGCCTTTCCCCCCCTTTGAGTGGAGTGAGGCGAGCTAAGCCAGAGCTGGGGGAGCGTGGTGGCTGAGGCCCCAGAGAAGGTCAGATACCAGGGACTTAGGTGGTGACCGAGCAAAGGCAGGCCTGGGTGTGCAGTGATGGAGACCCCAACAATTCCAGGAAACTCAGATGCAGGAAGCGAAGGGAATGCGTGTCAGAGGGTTCATCTACCAAATGCCAAAAATGAGGAAGTCAGGAAAACTGAAATAAAGCAAAAAGGGAGAAGACACACCCTGGAGGAAGAGAGCGAAGCTGGCCTCATATCTAACCCCCCCAACACACAGTCTCAGCCTGTAATCCGATGATTATTTCCTGCCCGAAGCCGAGGAAACGGGAGACCCCAGATTATAGACTCCTGGACTTTCAGACAGAGGCCAGCAGGGCTCCAGTCGCTTACCTGACTCCACCCTCCCACCTCCACCCGGCTCTCCAGGATTTTGTTTTATCCAGCTCTGCTCATTGCTGTGCAGCAAACCCTAGAATCAGAGCCCCAGACTTTGCACAGGTAATGGGCCTGGGGGCACAGGGGAGACCAAGGGGACAAGGAGAGAGTTAGAGAAAGCAGGGAGAGGGCACTGTGGGTCTCAAGTGGGACTGACTAGGAAGAGATATAAAAAGGCAGCTTGGAGATTTAATGGCCGAGGGGAGGTTTTTGATTCTATTCACTTAACTGGTTTCAGGCTGAAGTATGGCAGCCAAACCTGAGTCATAAACTGAGACTCACACTCAGTCCCATCTCCAGCCCGATTCCAGCCCCAGCCTAGCAGAGGCCCTGACCCCAATACAAACACCAGCTCCTCCTTTAACCCCCAACCATAACTTCAGCCCCCTTAACACCAGCCCCAACCCAAAGCTGACCCTCGACTCTCTTCAATTTCCAACTTCACCACGCTTAGGCCCACTCCATCCATGGCATCAACATGAGTACTGACCCCGGTCCTAGGAGGAGACACAACCTCAATTGCAGCCCCAGTGTTAGACCCAGTCTTAGTAATACATTTAGCTGCAACTTTACCTTTACCTTCACCTTCAATCCCACACTCAACCCTACCCCAGCCCAAAGACCAATGCTGACCCCACTTCCAACCTCTGCTGCAATCCCAAGCCCATTCCCATTCCTATCCTGGACCCCCGGCTCATCCCCAACCTGAACTTCTCTTACCTCCACTCCAGCCTGACCTCAGCTCCAACCTAGTCCCCGCCTCCCCTGTCCCCCAACTTCAGCCTCAGCCTGGTCACTGGCCCTGCCTCCATTTCAGCTCTGACAGCCTCAGAGTTGGTCCAAGGATGTCAATGAAATATGAAGACCTACAGCCCTTTGAGAGTGAGAAGAAAAGCCAGGGTAAGAGGAAAGGAGAAAAGGTATCTCCTAAAACACCCTCTTAACATGCTTAGAAGGATTTCTGCTCTCACGGCATATCTGCACCTCTATCATGTGCACTGCTGGGGTCCCACATTGTGAGGGTGTCAGGCCCCAGACTCTGGCGGCTCCATTATGAAGAGGGCTCAAGGCCCCCAGAAAGACAGGACCAGGAATGGCCACAATGGACCTGGTGGCCTATGCTCTGGGGAAGGGCATGAGCATTTGCACTGGGGGGGAATGGTCATATTTGGAAGGGAAGCATGTGCTGACCTGACAGTACAGATAAGCACGAGCCTGCTGAGGGCCTGGCTGCTACGACTCACTCTGTGTCCTCCTGCCCCTCTCCCAGCCCTGGTGATAAGACCTTACATGTCGCCATCATGTGTTACCAGAGGGCTGAGGGTGACTGAGGACTTGTCCTTGTCCACAAGGGTCAGAGGCCTGGGCATCCCCTGCATCTCAAGCCTCCCACCAGCTTTACCTGCACCAGCCTCCATCCCTGTGTCCCTCTCCCCCTCCCCCGTGTCCTCCTGTCCTGATGCCCCCTCCTCTTGCAGGTCCACCTCCTCTCAGAGCCTTCCTGCAGCGTCTCTGCTCTGGACCCTTCCCCCTCCTGCTCTCCCTGGGCTTCAGCCTCTTCCTGTTGGTCGATATCTGCATAATTGGATCCAAAAGTGAGTGTCACAGGATGGGCAGGGATGGGGGCGACAGTGGAGTACAGGGATGGGGGCACTGATGATGACCATGGTGGATAAAGATGGCTGCTGACTCTCTTACTTATTCATGGGTAATGTAGTCAAGTTACCTAACCTCTCAAAGCCTTAGTTTCCTCATCTGCAAGCTTGAATAACAACAGTGCCTGTCCCTTTAAGTTGGGTGGCTGTGAGCACCCAATGAGACAATGCATGCCAAGTCCCCTGCTCAGTGCCAGCACAGAGAGGACCTGAAAAACCTTAGCACTCATTGTCCCACCCGCCTGATCAGATGCCAAGATTCAGAGGGACCTGGAGACTCTGAGAGCAACTTTCAGCAACTTCACTTCCAACACGGTGACTGAGGTCTCGGCGCTGCACTCCCAGGGTGAGCCTGGCTGGAAAAGGCTCTGGACTGGGATGGGTCTTGGCTGGGGAGGGAGTGGGAGCTGAATCTTGAGCTCTGAGTCCCCATGTCCTCCAGATGGCAGTTTGCAAGAAACAATAGCATCTCTGAAAGCTGTGGTGGAAAACCGGGAGCAGGAACTGCAAGCAGGTGAGAGACCCTCCAGGAGTGTGTGTGCAAGGGTGAGGGCCAAGCTCGGAGGACAGGGTGGGGTGGGAGCAGCCTGGGGTGCTGAGTGCCCTCCCCTCCAGCCCATAGCTTGAACGACAAGGTGGTTTCTCTGGAGAGCAAGCTGGAGAAAGAGCAGCAGGAACTCCAAGCAGGTCAGGCCCCTTCTTCCCTGCGCCTGGGCCTGATGTGGTGGGAGGGCATGGAGGCCCTAGGCTGGGCCTCTGCTTTGTCCCCTCTGCCCTCTGTGTGTCCCAGGTTATTCTGAAATGCGCCTGCGAGTCGAGCAACTGACCAAAGACCTGAGCTCCCTGAATTTCCAGATGGCTGCTCTCAAGAGCAATGGTGGGTAGTGTGTGGGGCAGTGCCTACCCCATATCCTGCCCAGGTCCCACTGGGCAGCATCCCAGAACCTCTGCCCCTCAGGCTCTCAAAATACCTGCTGCCCCGTCCACTGGCTGGAGCATGACGGCAGCTGCTACTGGTTCTCCCGCTCCGGGCTGACCTGGCCCGAGGCCGAGCGGTACTGCCAGCTGGAGGACAGCCACCTGGTCACCATCAACTCCAGAGAGGAGCAGGTGAGGCCGGGCCCTCCCGACGCGGGAGGAAACCTCCGCAATGCAAACTCGGGGAGGCTGGGGCAGGCTTGCTTTATTATTGTTTAACCTAGGGAAGAGTCCAGAAGCAGAAGTCTGGGAGGTTCATAGGGGAGCAGCCACTGACTCTAAGAGGTGGGAGATTTCAGCCAGGAGCTGGGGCAAAGGGGCAGGAGCCAGGCGAGCAGGTGATGAGAGCAGGTCAGCAGGTCGGGAGACGGAACCAGGTCAGGACAAGCCAAACAAAGCCCCGACTCGGGCGGAGAGCGGGCGGGCTCCGAGAGCCCCTTCTTGCTGTGTGCTGGCCTCGGGGGTGGCGGTCAGTCGGGTGAAAGGATCAGAGTGGGCGGGATTCCCAGTACCTGTCACATTAAGGACTCAGTAAGTGTTACCATTAGTATACNGACAAGCCTGCCGTGGGTTACTTGGTTCCTCCAAGGTGCTCCAGGTCTCACCTGCCCACTGCTGCCACCGGACCACAACCACAAACACCAACATTCACAGGGAAGAACCAACCTGTTAGAATAGGTGGGGCTTTTGGTGGTTTTTTTTAAAAATGGAGGATATTATTGGTAACATTTACTGAGTCCTTACTATGTGACAGGCACTTTCATATGTATTCACTCCCTTAATCCTCACAAGCCTACAAGGTAGGTACTCTTACTGTCCCCACTCTGAGGAAGGGAGAAATGAGGCAACTAAGCAACAGGGAAGCTACGGGACTTGCAGCTTGTAAGTCAGGATGGAGCCAGAATTCAGGGCCACTCTGCTTCCTTCGCCAGTGTTTTCAACTACCACATGTTGCCAGAATAATTAGAAACATATTTTGCTTCACCAATCAGGTTGAAATTGCCAATTCCAATCCATTTTGACCTATAAAAATGTCGGTTTTGCCCGGCCGGGGGTGGCTCAGCGGTTGAGCATCGACCTAGGATCCAGGAGATCGGGGTTCGATTCGCGGTCAGGGCACATGCCCGGGTTGTGGGCTCGGCAGCTGATCAATGACTCTCATCATTAATGTTTCTACCTCTCTCTCTCCCCCTCCTTTCCTCTCTCTGAAATCAATAAAGATATGTTTTTTTAAAAAAAAAAAAAGTCAGTTTTGTATGGGCCAAGCCAAGATTTCAGAGCTCTGTGAGTTGGCCCACACGTTCTTGACGACAACAACTTCATGGTGGATCAGACTGTCCCTTCATCATTATGACGTGAATGTCAGTGTCTGGTTTAATGCTTTTGCCTCGAATTCGTCTTTATGTGATATAAATAGAACGGACCTGGACTTCTTTTCAGTTGCATTTGCTGAATGTATCTCTGTCCATGTTTTCTTTTCCAGCCTTTGAGTCTCTGTTTTGGATTAATGCTTCTCAGCCTTGGCTCTATATTATAAGCCTTTAAACTTGAGGAGTTTAAAGATTCTGATTTCATTAACCTTGGTTTCATCTGGGGCTCTGATATTTTCAAAAGTTACCCCAGCTGATGCTACTGTGCAGCTAGCTAAGGTTAAGGTATTTCTCCTATAGGTTGTGCATAAGTCTTGTTTTTTATTTTAAAAAATTGAATGAGTCTTCCAGTGGGTGTGTATCTCATTTATTTTTAGTAACTATGTTTAACCTTAATCTGTTCTTGTTTTCTGTTTATATTCTTCTGTTTTCTCACATTTGTTATGCGAGATGTGTTCTTTTTGTTCCCCTACAGTATTTTGAACTAGATGTAGCTTATTTTTAGTTATACGAGTGATTCCTTTTATAACTTTCAATGATGGGCTGAAAATTATTAGCCTCAAAAAAGCAAGCAGTTTATGTAACTTCCCATATCAAAGATGAGAAAAGCAGCACGCTTCCTCACACCCCTCATTCTTTCTTTTAAAACTGAGATATAACCGACGTACACCATTGTGTAAGTTTGAGGTCACACATGTGGTTTGATACATTTATGCATCTCGCTCTATGGTTACTGCATAGAGTTAGCTATCGCCTCTTGCATGTCACGTAAGTATTTCTTTCCGTGTCGAGCACACTGTAGGTCTAGTCTCTCAGCCTCTTGGGGGTTATCATTCCTCCTCCTTTCCTCTCCCCCTTCCCCAAGCGCTTTGCCTGAGGAGCTGGAGTCGTTCCTGTCTTTCAGTTTCATTAATCTCATCCTGATATACAGCTTGGCCTTGCTCACCCTATAGTTCTGCTCTGAGGCCAGGAGAGTCCTTTTAATAATGTAAACAGGTTTTCTAACACTTTGGAAGATTTTCTTAAGTCATATACGTGGATTTTTTTCTTGCCCACTTGCCTTCTTCCCTGGAACACGTCGTCCAAGAGCACCTCCCTGCCTCCCTGCGCAGCCGTCGCCTTGTCGGCGTAACTTCCATCCTGCTCGCGTTTCCTCTGCTTTCTGGGTCCCTTTCTCAGGCCCAAATGTCACGGGTCAGAGTTGGTTTGCTGCTGAGGTCTGGGTTGTTTCAGATAGCTCGTTTCCCCTGCATTTCTTCTCTTTGCTTACTCTGCCGTGTTATCTTTCTTTTTAAAATCCCTCCTTGACACTCTATGTCATCAGCGCCTCTTTAGCTTTTTGAGGCTGGAAGGAGCTCTTCTCCATCGCCTTCTGTTCTGAAACGTGCCTTTTATTCAAAGGATGTTCTCACCTCTCTTTTTTAAATCAAAATTCGTTTTACTCCCTCCTCTTCCTCCTCTTTATTTTTGCATAAGCCCCATGATAACTTTCACCTCTGCCACTCCCATGAATGGGCACAATTCTTTCTCGCCTGTTCTCTACCCACGACCTGGGAGATGAATTCCTCTGGACTCCTCTGGACTCCTCTGAATTTGGGAAACAGCCCCAGCAGCCTCTGAGGGTGGCCCTTCATGCCCAGGGCATTATCCTATTAGCAGGAGTCTAGAATTCAAGGATACTCCTGTATTCGCCCTCAGAAGAGGTGACTGTGATCTTAGTTGTGTCTCCAGGGAGTGAGGGTGAAATTAGAAACTTTTTCCCCAACTGTAGTTGGAGACCCTTGACCTGCTGTCAAAGGGAACTAACCGCGAGGTGTGTACGCTGGTCAGCCCATCCTTCTGCTTTCTCCACACACTCCCCTCAGACCCAGGGCAGCCTCTTATTTTCAGCACAGAGAGCAAGATCCCTTGTAGCCAAGTCATGCTGGGGCTCTGGGCACTGGGCCAAGCTGAAAGGTCCAAGACCTGGTGGACACCTGGAAATGACAGCTGCACATAGAGGCAGGGGCAGGGCAGGTGCACCTGAGAGGAGAGTGACACCGAGGCCTCCATGGGGCAGCGGGCCAGGGGCCAGGGGCAGCAGCCCGAGTTTGAGGTTGTGGGCAGAAGACAAGGAGAGGACTAGAGTCGGGGTGGCAGCCAGGGGCTGAGAACGGGGTGGGGGCCAGAGCGGGCGCAGCACCACAACTTAGGCCCTGCGTTGACTTTAGGGCTCTACCAACCACCGCGAGTTCCTTAACCTCACATGTAAATCAGCACAACCAATTTAGAGGGCTTCTGGGGATTAAATAAAATCATACTCATGAAGCACGAAGCATGTGCTGTAGCCCAGTAAGTGCTGAAGCCCTAAC